TATTATTATTATTATTATTATTATTATTATTATTATTATTATTATTATTATTATTATAGATTATTCTCAATTTAACAATGGATCTGGAAAAGGAGATTTATGACCTGGATTCAAGGTTCCAACAATCAGCACCCCCTCCATGGTCATGTGACCAAACTTTGGTTGGTTAACAACATAGCTGCATTTATGGTTGCTTGGAGCATCCTGTGGTCACGTGGCCCCATTTTACGATAGGCAAAAAACACACCCATCGCGAACCACTGGTTCAGTTAATGAGCACCACACAAAGGGTTGTAAAAGACCTTGCGCAGCACTGACAGAAGCCATCTTTGCGATGCCAACCCATTTTACAACTGTTATGGCATATGATTGTAATGGGCAGGCTTCATTACGGACATATGTTGACGACTATCTGTACTCACAAAGCTAATCATACTTGCTTAATGACCGTTGTCTAGATTATACCTTAATCAGATTGTAACTTGTTGAATGCAGCGTAATTCATAATAATGCAATATTCAGCTGCTGTAAACTCTCCCAGTACAGGGAGTCCTTGACTTACAACAGTTCATTTAGTGACCGTTCGAAGTTACAACAGCACTGGAAAAAGAGACTTACGACCATTTTTTACGCTTACAACCATTGCAGCATATCCATGGTCACGTGATCGAAATTCAGATTCTTGGCAACTGATTCGTACTTAGGATGGTTGCAGTATCCGAGGATCATGTGATCACTTTTTGTGACCTTCTGACAAGCAAAGTCAATGGGGAGGCTAAATTCACTTAACAGCTGTGTTACTAACTTAACAACTGCAGTTATTCGCTTAACAACAGTGGCAAGAGAGGTTGTAAAATGGGGAAAAAACTCACTTAACAAATATCTCACTTAGCAGTGGTAATTTTGAGCTAAATTACGGTCATAAGTCGAGGACCGCCGGTACCATTTTTTTTTTCTAGATCTAGGGTTTCTCCAACAAATGGACAAAGGAAATAACAGTTGCAAAACGCTTGTGAATTATTGAATTTAAATTCTCCTACCTGCACAGGAACTGGAGAGTGTCCATGACTTTGTGTACCTCGGCTCAACTATCTCTGACACTCTCTCTTTAGATACTGAGCTGAATAAACGTATTGGTAAAGCGGCCACCACATTTTCCAGACTTACAAAGAGAGTATGGCTTAGTAACAAGTTGACAGAACACACAAAGATCCAGGTCTATAGAGTCTGCGTCTTGAGCACACTCTTGTACTGCAGTGAGTCTTGGACTCTTCACGTACGGCAGGAAAGAAAGCTGAACACTTTTCATATGCGCTGTCTCCGACGTATTCTCGGCATCACCTGGCATGACAAAGTCCCAAATAGCGCAGTCCTTGAATGTGCTGGAATCTCTAGCATGTATACACTATTGAAACAGCGACGTCTACGCTGGCTTGGGCATGTCGTGAGAATGGCTGATGGTCGGATTCCGAAAGATCTCCTGTATGGAGAACTAGTGCAGGGAAAGCGCCCCAGAGGGAGACCTGAGCTGCAATATAAGGATATCTGCAAGAGGGACCTAAAAGCCTTAGGAATGGACATTAACATCTGGGAATCCTTGACCTCTGATCGTTCAGCCTGGAGGCTAAAGACGCAGCATGGCCTTCTCCAATTTGAAGAGACACTTGTGTGGCAGGCTGAGGCAAAGAGGCAGTCCCGGAACCAGCGAAATCTGGGGACTGGACAGGGGACAGATTGTATGCCCTCAATGTGGAAGGGACTGCCATTCTCGAATTGGCCTTTTTACCCATACCAGATGCTGCCTTAGGATCTCTTTCCAGAGCACGACACCATAGTCTCTCGAGACTGAAGGATGCCAATGAATGACCTGTACACCAAGGATCTACAAACCTGGCAACTTTAAGACTCAAAGACTTCAACTCCCAGAATTCCTCAGCCAGCCAGTCTTAAAATTGCCAAGTTTGAAGACAGCAACTGGGAGATGGACCTTTTCTTCCAGCTTCACATATCTCCACTCTGTGGTTTGCTTATGAACGTGTTGTTGGGGAAATCATGTGTTGTTTGATGAGGGGAAAGAGTCTCTTACGTTGTAGCCTTCTGATGGGATAGGTTGTCCTCAGTCTGTAGACCAGCGGTTCTCAAACTATGGGTCGGGACCCCATTTGGGGTTGATCGACCATTTCACGGGGGTCGCCAAGCAAGGCTGTCCGCCATTTTTTCCCCCTTTTCCGGCGGGTGCCTTACCTCCCTTGAGCTGGGCCAGCTGGTGGTCGGCCTGCTCCGTCTCTGCCGCTTCCCAGCTACGCCTCGGCCGGCGCAGGGGGTGGAAACACGCATGTGCGGCGCTCCCGGGCAGGGAAAGTCCTCGACTTACGACCGGTTGGGTAGTCCTTGACTTACGACCGGTTTAGTCCTCGACTTACGACCGGTTTAGTCCTCGACTTACGACCGGTTGGGGTCGTGGCATTAAAAAGGTTGAGAACCACTGCTGTAGACCATCCATTTCTGAGGCACGTCTTTTCTGCCTCTGAAAGAAAGAAATGTCATTTCATAAAGCCAAATAGACAAACAAGTCACTTGCTTTTATGCTTAATCTGTATATATATATAATTTTTACCTTTCAACCACACTAATTAGGCATTCACTGACTATCGTGTTGTCAACACCTTCACGAATCTCGGCAGACTGTACTTGCTGACTAATTTGGTCTCTGAGCTTCATTGCCAAATAGATTTGTCCCATATGTTGAACTGATTTCTTTACATTGGCACAGTGGTTACCTTGGTCTGCATAAAAAACTGAATTTCACCTCTAGAAAATTTACTATTTTGTACAAATGACCACTTAGGCATACAAGATGTCAGGATTCAACTACCTCCCCACTCTAGCTCATTCGTGTCACGTTCTTAGAAGTACTTAATTAAAAAGGAATTAAACAAAGGGACGATAAGGACAAGCCGTGAAACCCTTCGCGCACTAATTGCTTTAATACAGTTGCATGTTGCCAAGGAATGCCTTCCGCAAATTAATGGACATTATTGATCTGAGGATAGATTCAGCATGAGACCTGACTAGCGAGAAGAGAAGCACATTTAGTGAGGAGTTCGGGCAGAAGATCAAAAATGATGGGATGATCCTGTGCATCATACTGAGAATCTTTTGGTTTCCCCAATCTTTTGTATTTGTTGTAGTGAATTGTCTTCTGTTTTTGTTTGTTTGTTTATTTATGAAAATTTCTATGGCTGCCCAACTCCCTCTGAGTGACTCCGGGCGGCTTACAAGGATTAAAAAAAATCCAGTAGAAAACCCTTCATTAAAAGCAATAACCTGTAACCTTCTGGCAACAACAATCACTTAAGCCAGGGGTGTCAAACTCAATTTCATTGAGGGCCGCATCAGCATTGCGGTTGCCCTTGGGCCGGGTGGGCGTGGGTGGAATGGGTGTGGCCTACTGGGTGGGCGTGGAGGGAGTGGGTGTGGCCTACTGGGTGGGCATGGCCAGCTCTACATCGTTTGCGTCAAGGGTGCCTGTGGGGGCCTGGGCAGGAGTGGGACAGATCTGGGGGTCTCTGGCAGAAGGAGGTGGGACCAAAGCATGGTCCATTTCTTCATTCCTCACAAAGGGTGACACCTCCCCAGCATGCACCCAGGGGGCGGGGCCGACGCGGCAGGGGCTGGTTCCTCGCTGTTTCTGGACGGCCTTGTGGAGCTAAGACTGAATGCATTTCAACACAGATGGCCACCACAAAATTGTACATTGGCTCCCGGCCGGCCTGGGCCAGGGCCAAGGCAGCGGGGGCCGTTCCCTCACTGTTTCCAGGATGGCTTCGCGGGCCACATGAAACCACTTCGCGGGCCGCATCTGGCCCCCGAGCCTTAATAATAAATAATAATAATAATGATAAAGTTGGAAGGGACCTTGAAGGTCATCTAGTCCAACCCCCTGCTCAGGCAGGAAAGCCTATACCATTTCGGACAAATGGCTGTCCAGTTTTTTCTTAAAAACTTCCAGTGTTGGCACATTCACCGCTTCTGGAGGCAGGTTGTTCCACTGGTTAATTGTTCTAACTGTCAGGAAGTTTCTCCTTAGTTCTAGGTTGCTTCTCTCTTTGGTTAGTTTCCACCCGTTGCTTCTTGTCCTGCCTTCAGGCGCCTTGGAAAATAGCTTGACTCCCTCTTCTTTGGGGTAGCCCCTGAGATATTGGAACACTGCTATCATCTCCCCTCTCGTGCTTCTCTTTGTTAAACTAGACATACCCAATTCCAGCAACCGTTCCTTATATGTTTTTTGACATGTCTGACTTAAGCCATTTGATGGGCTCTATAAGGAGCCCAGTGGCTCTGATGGTTAAGATGCTGGGTTGGAGGTTAGCAAGCCTGTGTTCAAGACCCAAGTGCTGCCGTGGGGCGGGGTGAGCTCCTGTCCTTTGCTCCAGCTCCTGCCGGGGACATGAAAGGAGCCCTCAACTGGGCATCCCGTGGGCACCGGTTAACCCTTTCAACACAGAAGCAACTCCTCGATGCTTCTGATAAAAGTGTGATGTAATGGGCTCTATCCCACTCCGGTGTCTCCAGGCCCGTTGGCCAAACCAGGTCTTCAGAGCTTGTTAAAAGGTGTCAAACTGGGAGCCAATCTTATTTCCAAAGGGATGATTAGGAGCCATCACAGAGAAGGCCCTTCTTGATCCCACTAGATCAAAGGGGTGGGCAGCTAGGGCACCTTTATGACTTGTGGACTTCAGCTCAAGGAATCCTGGGAGTTGAAGTCCACAGGCCGCAAAGTTGCCAGAGTTGCCCACCTCTGTGCTAGACGGACCTTCTTAGGAGAGGGGACTCCTGCCTCCCTTTGGCAAGGGTTTTCTTTTTCAACAGAAGCAAGGGTGAAAGCTCACAATCCTGTGGATGGTAAATATGAAAGAAAACTACTCATCATTCTCTTTATGTTCTTTTTTTTTTTATATTTGCCCTTTAGGTAATGATTCTGATGTTGACCTTGACAGGAGGGAAGATGAGCGAGAAAAACCATCCAAGAGGCAGCGGGTACAAAGGACTGAGAAAAGTCTTTCCTCAAAAGAAGCAGACCAGGCCTCAGGAGCTAAGAATCCTATTATAAGTGTGGTTTTGACAGCCCACGAAGCAATTCCAGGTAACCATAACTATTTCTGTCGGGGGGGGGGGGGTTGCCTTTCTTTCTTTCTTTCTTTCTTTCTTTCTTTCTTTCTTTCTTTCTCTTTCTTCCTTTCTTTCATGTGAGATTTTTATTGGATTTTCCTTCTATATTTTTCAAGTATTGACCATGCATTGGCTTGTTCTTGCAATCAACAAATGAGTTTTTGAATGTTTTTCCCCTACATTCAGCTTTCTTTCTTTCTTTCTTTCTTTCTTTCTTTCTTTCTTTCTTTCTTTCTTTCTTTCTTTCTTTCTTTCTTTCTTTCTTTCTTTTTCTTTCTCTTCTTTCTTTCTCTTCTTTCTTTCTTTCTTTCTTTTTCTTCCTCTTCTTTCTTTCTTTCTTTCTTTCTTTCTTTCTTTCTTTCTTTCTTTCTTTCTTTCTTTCTTTCTTTCTTTCTTTCTTTCTTTCTTTCCAACTGTTATTCTGTTATTCTTAGTTGACAAAACTCTGAACACCAAATGATCACAGCTTGGAAGAAAAGTAGATTTATGAAGAAAATGTGGGCTTTATGAACTTATTGGACAAAGGAGATGCAGAGGGATAGAATCAGAGGGATAGAATCAAGATCACGTGAAGTATTAATACCATTTTACAATGGCTTGGTAAGGCCACACTTGGAATACTGCATCCAGTTTTGGTCACCACGATGTAGAAAAGATGTTGAGACTCTAGAAAGAGTACAGAGAAGAGCAACAAAGATGATTAGAAGATTGGAGGCTAAAACATATCAGGAACAGTTGCTGGAATTGGGTATGTCTAGTTTAATGAAGAGAAAGACGAGGGGGGACATGAGAGCAGTGTTCCAATATCTCAGGGGCTGCCATAAAGAAGAGGGAGTCAAGCTATTTTCCAAAGTGCCTGAAGGCAGGACAAGAAGCAACGGGTGGAAACTAATCAAGGAGAGAAGCAACCTAGAACTGAGGAGAAACTTCCTGACAGTTAGAACAATTAACCAATGGAACAACCTGCCTCCAGAAGCGGTGAATGCTCCAACACTGGAAGTTTTTAAGAAAAGACTGGACAGCCATTTGTCTGAAATGGTGTAGGGTTTCCTGCCTGAGCAGGGGGTTGGACTCGATGACCTCCAAGGTCCCTTCCAACTTTATTATTATTATTATTATTATTATTATTATTATTATTATTATTATTATTATTATTATTATTATTATTATTATTATTATTATTATTANTACTACTACTACTACTACTACTACTACTACTACTACTACTACTACTATTATTATAGATCTAAAAAGAGAATTTGGAGACAGGTCAAAAGTGAATTTGATGTCATTCCATTTACAGTAGATCTTTGGTGTTTTTACAATTAATTCAAGGCAGCGAACATATCCAACATATCTTCCCCCTCCTATTTTATCCCCAACAACAACCCCTGTGAGGTGAGTTGGGCTGAGAGAGAGTAACTGGCCCAAAGTCGCCCAATGTCTTTCATGGCTAAGGTGGGATTAGAACTGACAGTCTTCCAGTTTCTAGCCCGATGCTTTAACCAGTAGACCATACTGGCTCTCGCTAAATGACACATTTCTTTCATCTTTCCATAAAGATGGTATAATTAGGCCCTCATATTTCTATGCAATATGGATGTAAAAGAATCTGCATTCCTACCATTGCGTTTCAGTACGCAACACACAGCTTTTGACCCAAGAGCTGAAAGATTTTGCCAAATCATGGAAAAAACAGGGGTTTGCTTCTTGTCTGCTCATTAGACTTGCAAAGTGGAAAAAATTGAAATTATGGACGGCAAACCTAGTTGCCTATAAATAATGCAGAATTCTAGATGGCTGAGCCTTGGAGCTTAACTGTGAGCTGTAAAATAATGGTTTGAGGACCCGAAAGGGTTTTTGTGACCCACATAAGCTTTGAACTTCTACTAACGGGCTCATGTGCATCTAGGTAAATTGCGCACAGAGCATGGGAATTACATGGGTGACCTGGTCTAGGAATGGTCTTAAACCCGTAGCCAGAATGTAAAGGACAGAGTCTCCTGCTACAGAAAATCCTTTCTTTCTGTCTTGTGCAAATTTGGCCTTTTGACTGCACAAAATAACATTATTCCAGTACTCGGAATACTCTGGATTTGAATGATAGATATGGACTTTTTTAAATCAACTGTTACTGGGAGTCCTCGACTTACAACAGTTCGTTTCGTGACCGCTTAAAGTTACAAAGGCACTGAAAAAAGTGGCTTATGACCAGTTTTCACACTTAACAACCGTTGCAGCATCTCCACGGTCACGTGATCAAAATTCAAACGCTTGGCAACTGACACATATTTATGACGGTTGCAGTGTCCCAGGGTCACGTGATCACCTTTTGCGACCTTCAAACAAGGAAAGTCAATGGGGAAGCCAGATTCACCTAACAACTTTGTTACTGACTTAACAACTGCAGCAATTCACTTAACAGCTGAAGCAAAAAAAGGTCATAAAATGGAGCAAAACTCATTTAACAAATGTTTCACTTAGCAACAGAAATTTCGGGCTCAGTTGTGGTTATAAGTTGAGGATTATCTATATAGACACGGACTTCTTTTTAATCAACTGTTTCTTCCGTGGATGCAGTGGAAAGATTGGTAAAGATCATTTCACGTGGTCAATATATGATTTGTTGATTAGATTATCCCACCTTTATTTCCTTCCTCTTCCTATTTTTCTTACCGCAACAACCCTGTGAGGTAGGTTGGGCTGAGAGGGAATGACTAGACCAAGGATAGGCAACCTTGGCTCTTTTATGACTCGTGGACTTCAACTCCCAGAATTCCTGAGCCAGCATTGGAGAACTATGGCCCCTTCATGACTCATGGACTTCAACTCCCAGAATTCCTGAGCCAGCATGGCTCAGCTTGGAAACCTCTCCCTTTCCCCTCAGCATGGCTGGCTCAGGAATTCTGGGAGTTGAAGTCCACGAGTCATAAAAGAGCCAAGGTTGCCTACCCCTGGCCTAGGCCTGTATTTCTCAACCTTGGCCACTCGGAGATGGGTGGACTTCAACTCCCAGAATTCCTGAGCCAGCATGGCTCAGCTTGGAAACCTCTCCCTTTCCCCTCAGCATGGCTGGCTCAGGAATTCTGGGAGTTGAAGTCCACGAGTCATAAAAGAGTCAAGGTTGCCTACCCCTGGCCTAGCCCAAGTTACCCAGCCAGCATATAATGATGAAAACTAGGCTGAATATTTTTGTATTTATAATACATCTATTGTAATTTTTTCTTCTTTTTCTTTCTCTTTTCATAATAAAATTATATTAAAATGTTATCATCCTTCACTTGGGCTTTGTGTAGTGATGGGCTTCAAACATTTCAGATTGAAGCTTGTTTTTTCCTCAGCAATTTCAAGCAGAATTTTAGACTAGAAGTGTTTTCCTTCCTGCTGGTTAGAACCTCATAGAGACGTTGCTTAAGTAAACTGTTTTCTCTTCCTCTTTCTGGAGCTTTCACTAGATTGCAGGAAATTAAAAAAAAAACCAAGCTTTATTTTATTTCATGCGATTGGGCTGTTTGTTGCCTTTATGATATAAACTCTCCTACTGCCTTGCCTTTTACAAGTGTAGGTAGGTCATCAGTGCTGTATGTTGAATAGAAAAGTAATTTACATTTAAGACACAGGTTGTGTCTTCACATTCCAACTATGTGAGGTTATGTAACAACTTTGCAAATACATACTCTAATTAAAGCTGCCTAGTCTGCCTTTGTGGCTGTTGCGTATGGGCGAAACCGATTTAGTTGTGCTGGTCCTTCTTTGAGTTGTGCTCTGGGGCAAATTCAAAATTTGCCCATTTTGGAGTACAGTAATGTGATGCTTGCAGGCTTTTAAAATTTTATTTGTCAGGCCTGTGTGTGGATAAACCTGACTTGTTCAACCTCCAAAAAGAGACCTGGAAAAAGGGGAAAAAATGAACAAGCTCAAGAACACAACAGCAGAAAAATGTTTATTTTGTGGATTTTATGTTTTATATTTTGGTTATGTCAAGTCTTGTAAATGCAACCTCAGCATCCTTCCACTGCAAGGAGGAACATTTTTCTCGTTTCTTTAATCCTTTTAATTTCATACATCTGTAATTTCCCCATTTATGTATTCCGTTGTCTGGGTTTTTTTTTTTACATCTAACAATCTGTGCATCTGTGGAACAAAAGCTATTCCATTTCACCAGACTCATATTCCCTTTTAATTAATCCTAAAGGATAACAGAATAACAGAGTTGGATGGGACCTTGGAGGTCTTCTAGTCCAACCCCCTGCTCAGTCACGAAGCCTTATACCATTTCAGACAAATGGTTGTCCAATCTCTTCTTAAAAACTTCCAGTTGCTGCTTCTTTCTCTCCAACCAGCCAAGTAGAGATAATCCTTGATTTATGACCACATTTGAGCTCAATGTTTCTAAGTGAGACTTTTATTATTTTGCCTCATTTTATGACCTTTCTTGCCACAGTTCTTAAGTGAATTACTGCAGTTATTAAGTGAATCTAGCTTCTCCATTGACTTTGCTTGACAGAAGGTCACAAAATGTGATCATATGACCCCAGGACACTACAACTGTCATAAGTACATGCCAGTTGCCAAGCATCTGAATTTTGATCATGTGACCATGGGGATGCTGCAATGGTCATAAGTGTGAAAAATGATCATAGGTCACTTTTTCTAGTGCTGTTGTAATCTCGGTCATTAAACAAGCTGTGGTAAGCTGAGAACCACCTCCACTGATTTAAGAAATCTGTGCTTTTCAAATCTTTTATTTTTAGAGTATTAAACAAAAGAAAGAAAGGACCATTCTCCATATTTTAGCCATGCTCTATTGTTAACACCAAAAAGATATGTGTTATTTCTCTAAATAAGTATGAGTAAAACTAGTTGATGGACAATAAAGAAAGTAAAAAAACGAGATGGGCTACAGAACGGGGAAAAAACACTCATTATTGTTTATCAAACAGCTTCCTATTCTGTTTTAAATGTCAGCTTTCAGCTTTATCTTTTTTTTCCAGGTAGTCTCTTTTTCTCATGTTGTCTTAACTGTTTGCTACTCATTTCTCTTTGCTCTGTTTTTTCACTGTGGCCTTTGTAGATAAGCTCTCATGTTGAAATTAAAATATGAAGCCATATTGTTCACGTTTCAAGATTGTTAATCTACTTCCACACAAAAGTGTTGTTATTCTTCAAAAAAAAAAAAGTTGTTCATCAATTAAGAAAAATGGTTGGAGCTCAGCTAAAACTCAGCAAGGGGGTATTTCAGAATTCAGGTGATAATATTGAGATGGGACACTAGCAAAAAAAAAAAAAGGAATTGGTGAATAAATGGATGAGAAGAAGCAATGTTTAATGTTTGCCATTTCTTACCAGCAGATGTCCTCAAGATTGTCTCTTCCTTCTATCTAGGTTAGATTTGCTTCTAGATTCAGAGTAGGACTCTTTGTAGGGGAGTGTTAGGGATCAATCTTTTCAGATTCAGAAGCTGAAGAGTTGACCACTTTAAGCCTCAGTTTATATAGGGAGAAGTTGGCTGAGCCGGTAGAGGAGTGAAGCTGGCAATTAGTCTGGAATCTTTACATAGGCACAAGAGGACAAGGTCAGAAACTTCCTGACTGTTAGAACAATTAACCAGTGGAACAACCTGCCTCCAGAAGCAACACTGGAAGTTTTTAAGAAGAGACTAGACAGCCATTTGTCCGAAATGGTATAGGGCCGTGGTGGCGAACCTATGGCACGCGTGCCACAGGTGGCACGCAGAGCCCTCTCTGTGGGCACACGTGCCGTTGCCCTGGTCCTAGGCCCTCACCTAGGTTTTATAAAACCTTTCACTTTAGGCCTCTGCCACCATGTGCAAAAAAAAAAAAAAAAGGTTCAATCAATCAATTTCAACTTCTCGCAGGGAAAAAAAAGATCTCGCAAAGTTGGAATTGATTGATTGAACTTTTTAGTCCCACCCAGTCTGCCGTTACCACCGCAGCCACGCCCACCCAATAGGCCACGCCCACCCAATTGGCCACAGCCACCCAATGGGCCACACCCACCCAACGGGCCACGCCCACCCAGCACCCGACGATACATAAGTGGGTTTTGGGTTGCAGTTTGGGCACTCGGTCTCTAAAAGGTTCGCCATCACTGGTATAGGGTTTCCTGCCTGAGCAGGGGGTTGGACTAGATGACCTCCAAGGTCCCTTCCAACTACTACTACTACTACTACTACTTCTTCTTCTTCTTCTTCTTCTTCTTCTTCTTCTTCTTCTTCTTCTTCTTCTTCTTCTTCTTCTTCTTCTTCTTCTCCTCCTCCTCCTCCTCCTCCTCCTCCTCCTCCTCATCATCATCATCATCATCATCATCATTATTATTATTATTATTATTATTATTATTATTCCTCCCCTGGAATGCTGTTGAACCTTATCTAGTCTTGCCCAGGTACAAACTGTCAGGCATTGAGCAATAAAGTAGGTAATTTGAACTCTTCACATATGGGACTGGTTTTTTCGTGCCTGAAAGGAATTAGCTAAAGAGAGTGTCCTTGAGGAGACTCATCTGTCTTCTTGAAAGGAAGAAAAAAAAATGTCACTTAACCTATTGCTCAAACTGATGTCCAGTTACAAAACAGATGGCTTTTGTAACTGGTTTTTGATGGCAAAACATTTTCAAATTTCCTCCTTATGGCTCTGACTGGATGCTGCTTGATTGCTGGGAATCTTGGACTGTACTTGAATTTGACACTCTTGAGATTTGTGTGTTCAGATTCTTTTTTCTAAAGTCAGCTTTGAGTTTTAGTATGCTTTGTTGTAGGATATACTACTGCAGTAAATAGCTTGAGTTTATTATCAGAAGCTGTTGTGTAGCTTGGCAGCCGAGAATGCTACAAGGGTAACATTCAAAAATTGTTTGTGATGAATAGAGAGGCCACACTAGTGGTATAGAGCAGAGGTCCCCAACCTTTTGAGCAGCAGGGACCGGTTCCGTGGAGAGAGGTTTTTCTGCGGACCGGAGGGGGCATGGTTTCATGTACTGCCTGGGGGGGGCTTTGCTTGTTTGCGCGAACCAGTTTTTGGCATGCCGTGGCCCGGTGCCGGTCCATGGACCGGGGGTTGGGGACCCCTAGTTTAGAGGATGGCCTTGAAGTGTTAATACCACTTTACAATATCTTGGTAAGGCCATACTTGGAATACTGCATCCAGTTTTGGTCACCGCGATGTAAAAAAGATCTTGAGACTCTAGAAAGAGTACAGAGAAGAGCAACAAAGATGATCAGGGGACTGGAGGCTAAAACATATAAGGAACGGCTGCTGGAATTGGGTATGTCTAGTTTAACGAAGAGAAGGACGAGGGGGGACATGATAGCAGTGTTCCAATATCTCAGGGGCTGCCACAAAAAAGAGGGGGTCAAGCTATTCTCCAAAGCGCCTGAAGGCAGGACAAGAAGCAACGGATGGAAACCAATCAAGGAGAGAAGCAACCTAGAACTAAGGAGAAACTTCCTGACAGTTAGAACAATTAGCCAGTGGAACAACCTGCCTCCAGAAGCGGTGAATGCTCCAACACTGGAAGTTTTTAAGAGACTGGACAGCCATTTGTCCGAAATGGTATAGGGTTTCTTGCCTGAGCAGGGGGTTGGACTAGATGACCTCCAAGGTCCTTTCCAACTTTTTTTTTTATTATTATTATTATTATTATTATTATTATTATTATTATTATTATTATTATTATTATTATTATTATTATTATTATTATTATTATTGGCAGAAGGAAGCTCCAATACCAAGACAACAATCAGATAAACGAGGCTTGAGGCCAGACCAATAATATGGCTTGTGAAAATGCCTTATGATCAAAAGTCAGATATTGTGGTCCATAGGGATGCTGCAACGGTCACAATTGTGAGAACTATTCATAAGCACTTCTGTGATTTCAAATGCTCACTAAACAAATAGTTTTAAATTGAGGACTGCCTGCATTCTGCTTATCCTGTATAGTATTTTAGAGGTTTTTAGGTGAATTGCATTTCTGTTTTTGCTGCAGGTGCCACAAAGATAGTTCCTGTGGAAGCAGCTTCTCCCAAAGATGATCAGCCCATCAACTCAGAAACCTCTGCATCAGACACCTCTCAGCGAAGAGGTTATCAGGAATATGCCATTCAGCAAACGCCTTATGAGCAGCCAATGAAATCAAGCAGGTAATCTCCATTTTACAAATCTAAGCATTTGTAGCCTTTTGGGCTGAAGCTTAAATGACTGAGAAGGAACGTTTTTTAGAAAGATGCTGGGAGACCCTGCGTTGGTGCTAAATATATTAGATAAGATAAGATAACCTTTATTGTCATTTTTTTTTACTGTGGGCACAACGGCACACATCAAAAAATGAAATTTAGTTGCCCGCTCTCAAAGTGAAACACATACATGACACACACCTAAAATATACTATGTACAACATATGTATAGACCCACACCCGTACATATACATAACAAATAAATATTAAATACTGTCCCTCTTGAATATATAACGGAAGGAGGAAGCTTGAGAATTCACAAGGTTAATGCTGTATGGAATGAAACGAGCTACCCCCCGAGATCCGGACAATCCCGGATCTCCTAACCTTCCGCCGCGCCCTCAAGACATGGCTTTTTCAACAAGCGGGACTGACCTAGGGTGAATTTTAAATAGGGATAATTTTTAATGATTTTAATAATGTCACAGACTACAAATATTTGGTTTTAATTGGCTTTTATAGGGGAAATGTTGTGTTGTGTTGTTTGTGTTGTGTTATTTTAATATGCTGTGAGCCGCCCTGAGTCCCGTGGGGAGAAGGGCGGCATATAAATTATGAAA